AGTGTGTCTGCTGTGTTGAAACTACAATGTGCAGAGAGTAGACTGCAAAACGTGCATCTAAAGTCACTATAACATATCCTTACCGTGTTGTGGTGAAAAATATCAATTCATTACAAAAATCTGGATTTTAAAGAAAAGTCAACATCTAGAGCCAGACTTGCTAACAGTCAGCAGCAGTGCAAAGCTTTCTTTCACCATTAAAAAGCTTCTGGATTTACTAAAGAGGCACAGTGTCAGTTTTGTGACTGCAAGTTGTGGATCGGGCTGTTTTTGCAGCTGACCTTCTGGCATATGTATTTGCAGGAGTTTCCCTTTGAAGAGGAAAATATCTCAGTCACTCGAGCATGATTTGCTAATGTTCATGGCATGCAGTTTTACTGCGAATTCCCCTAAATCTAACACCAAAAAAAGCCTGTTCTGGTCGTGATCGCTGCTTCTAGGAGTGTTTATTTATTTAGACTGAGAGGGGGAGATTTTATCAGAAGGGAGTGCCTAATTGGAATTTTGGTTCGATGGCTTAAAACTGTGAGTACAGTGCCAACACTTTGGCTCTGTCCTAAAACTCTTCACTTGAGCATTTAAAGCTGAGCCCAACTTACTTTAATACTGGGATTTTCATGAAACAAAGCAGAAATGAATTAACTGAGCTGTTTATTTTTCATCAGCAGTGTGCACACAGTGAACGACTTCTCTCTGCTATTTCTAGAACAAATAAAAGTGTGTCAGTGTCAGTGTATCCATTAACAGACAGACGGCTCATTAATAACTGTAAATAGTGTTTGTGTACGTACAGATCTCAGGTTTATATGGTGGATTAGTTCATAACAATGCAGCTCTTCTTTGAATAAATCCCGAGCTCCACCTGAGTCTCAGTCCTCAGGACCTCATGCACATTTTAATCCTCCTTCAGCCTCCTCTTGTTGACCTAAATGGCATTTTCAGAGGGGAACGTGTAAAACCTGAACGTACGCTGTATTTTGATTGGTAGGTTTGCATCAAGCTCTTCCTCAGCTTCCTCATTGGGTCTGCTTGTTTTTGAGACACTAATCTGCACCGCTCACCAAAGAAGGCTGATTATTCCCCTGTAATTGTGGCATCACAATAATCACTTAGTAAATGTGTGAAATTAAATGCATCATGTTTTATGTAGTGATTGTAAATCCTTCCCTCCCAGCTGACTCAAAGTAAAACAGACCTTACTAATGCCCTGGAATTATACAGAATACACTTTGATAAATTAGTTCATAATCTGGATTTAGAGATCAGACAGAGAATGCTTGCAAGGCTACACCTGGATGAGAAGCAGATTTTCTTCCAGCAGCGTGATCTTCAGAGTCCAGTTGTGCATTTAACAGGTTATTGCTGAAAATACAAAACAGATTATGATATGAAATGGAAAATGCATGGTCAGATGGTCCATCGCAATGATCCTTTCATAAAGGACAGCCCCAGTGTATCCCATTCTAAAGGAGGTAGTGAAAGTGTTGAAATGCCTTTGGAGAAGTCAAACAGCTCCTATTATGGTACTTCCAGTTTATGTAAATCGGTTAGGAACTTAACTGAGCAAAATGAACTACTGGAAAATGCACAAGCTGTTACAATGGACTAGTAAAAGACCATGCCAATCTCCAACTGACTACAATGTTGTGGGTGGGATCTTTAGAGAGTTGTGCATGAACGAATGTCCACAAACTTCTATAAAATGAAACGATATCAGAAAGAAACGTGACCTAAAATTCCCCCACAATGATGTGAGAGATGGATAAAGTCGTTGGGGAAAATATTATGTCAAGTTATCGCCGCTACAAACCATTAAATAATGAGGTGTACTTAGTAGTTGTTTGGATCTTTTTTGTTTTCTATTTAAAGGAAGTATGTCATAATTCATCTTCTCCTTGAATCATAACACCAAAACTATTCAAAATATTCAAATTAAATATTTTAAGTTTGCTCACAAAAAAGTAGTAAACAGATGTGCATCCTTTTTTGTCATCGTTTCAGACTCAGTACAGTATATATTTATGCAGTACCAAAAGATATAGTATAGGGAATTACTTTGGCACATTGTCAAGCCAAATCTCTTTGTGTCCTTCTACGTCCCTCCAGGTGTGTACCTGCCTCTTTTGTGGGAGCAGAGCTTTTGCTGGAAGAGCCCCATCGCTCTGGGATACACGCGGGGCCACTTCTCAGCGCTGGTGGCCATGGAGAACGATGGCTTTGACAATCGCGGCGCAGGCGCCAACCTCAACACGGACGATGACGTGACAGTGACGTTCCTGCCTCTGGTCGACAGCGAGAGGAAGCTGCTTCACATTCACTTCCTCTCAGCGCAGGAAGTAAGGCACTCAACA